CAGCGGGGCTTGGCCCCCGTCACCCCCATCCTGCCTCGGCCGCGGCGCGATGGCCACGCTGGCGCCGAGACGGCGGCGAAGGCGCCGGGCCCTGCACTGCCAGTGAGCACCACTGCACGGAGCGTGGCCAGCACCGGTGGGTCTCCTCGGTCCGGTCCGGTTTGGTCCAGCGTGCGAGTCCAACGCGGGGGCAGGAAGATGCAGGGAGGGCATCTCTGTGCACAGTGCGGGACCTGTTCCCGCCAGCAGCTCCACGGGAGCGTGCGAGAGGACGGGGCGTGAAGGCAGCTTCTCAGTGCAGAGCGGGATTTCTAAATGCTCCATCACTGTAGGTTTGGGGGTTTTGTTGTTGCTGTTTTTGTTTTGTTTTGTTTTGTTTTTCTTTGCTGTTGGAAAGGGAGGCAGGTGCTCGAAACCCTGCACAGGGAATAAGCTTGCGGGGCTCCCTGCAGCTGGGCCCCTGCAGGTGGGACGGCCACGCAAGGACATCCCTGGAAGGTCAGGGTATGTTCAAAGCAAATGCTGTCGGCTGAGCGGGGATGCACTGGACACTCACCGGCACCGCAGGTCGGTGCTGTGTGKGGGGGACGTGTCTCAACACGGCGCTGCAGGCTGCCGCGCTCTGCAAGGGCCCGCGTGGGAGCGGGCCGGCCGCRCTCACAGGCTGCTGCGGAGGCGAGCCACACAGGGGATAATCCCGGGACCTGCGGATAATCCCCTGGGAGAAAGTGGTGCTGAGTGAGGGCAGCAGAGGGGCACCCCTCCTGCCCTCCCCATGTCCTTGTGACCAGGAGAGCCAGCGGCTGCTCCTCGCGGTACCACATTAGGGCCCATCCCCATCCCCAGAGCAGAGCTGTGCGCGGAAGCAGGGATCAGGCGAGCGGGCTGCAGGAGGAGGTGCCGCGCGGGGCGGGCAGGCGGCCGGCGCTCTGCAGGTGCAGGCACACGGCGCACCCTGACACACGCACACGGGCACAGCCAGGCGCACCGATCCGCGCGCCCGGACACCGAGGTGCACGCGCTGTGGGATGCTGCTGCCAGCGCTCGCCCGCTGCCGGCACGCGGGCCTGCCTGCACACACACACGTGCACACACGTACACGCTGCTCCACGTGCACATACACACGTGCACACACATGCACTCTGCTCCACGTGCACACACACACACACATACACAAGCACACGCTGCTCCGTGTGCACACACACATATATACACAGGTACACGCTGCTCTGTGTGCACACACACGTGCACACATGCACGCTGCTCCACATGCACACACACATATGCAGCCATGCACACACTGCTCCATGCGCAAACACACACATGCACACTGCTCTGTGTGCATACACACATGCATGCAAACGTACACACTGCTCTGCATGTACAACACACATGTGCACATGTACATGCTGTTCTGTGCGCACATGTACATGCTGCTCCACATGCACACACACACATGCATATACGTACGTGCTGCTCTGCAAGCACACACATATGCACACATGTACACACTGCTCCATGTGCACATGCATATGCACACACATACATGCTGCTCTGCACACACATATATGCACACATATACATGCTGCTCTACGCACACACATAGGTATGCACTCACACATACACTGCTCCACGTGCACACACATATTTATGCACACACGTACATACTGCTCCATGCACACACACATGCACACACATACACRCTGCTCTATACACACACACATATGCACACACGTACACACTGTTCTGCACACACACATATGCACACACGTACACACTGCTCCATGCACACACACACACAGGTATGCACTCACACATACATGCTGCTCCACCTCTGCACCAGGAGCTTGCCAGTGGGAACCACGGTGCCAAAGGGAGAGGGCTTCCCACGCCCCCAAAGCCGAGCTGAGGGGCCATTCAGGTGTGAGGAGCCGTGCCCAGCTCCCTCTCTTCAGGAAAGCAGGAGGAGGCCTTGCAAGCCCGGAGGGATCCTACAGGGAAAGGGAGCAAGACCCCTGGCATCGCCCAGCGCTGCCACAGCAAAACCGCAAGCGGTTAAATATCTCCCTCCCGGAACAAGCGGCTGCATCCAGAGATGCTCTGTGCACAGCAGCATGTYCAGCTGCTGGGACACAGCAAGGGAAGGAGCAAGGAAACCTGTGCGCGGGGCAGCGGGGCAGGGAGGAGCGGGCGCCTCTGTCRGGGGGTCCCAGCCGCCCCGCTCCCCTGCCCGCCGGGCGGGAGGCTCCGCAGGCTCCGCGCCGAGCCAGGGGGAGGGCGCGCAGGGAGATTTGGCAGCGATGTTTAATATTCAGGTCACATGACGGAGGCAGCAGGAGCAGCACCCGCATCCCTGCTCCGCTGAAACAGCCACTGGAGAAGCAGGGGAAGCAGAGGGGGGAGAGCAGGACAGGAAAGGAAGAGAGGGGTGAAAGCAGAGCTTGGTGGCTCACCGCGCTGCGCCAGCGCCAGCCTAGAGGACTGAGGGGAAGCCCAGCCCCTTGGGAGAGGGATCGGAGACAAAGGAAGCTTCATGTTCAAAGGTAGGATGCTCCCAGCTCCGCAGCGCCGGGCGATGCGGGGGGATGCTCCGGCTTTCCGTGCGTGCATGCTCCGCGGTGCCCAGCTCTGGCCATTGAGTGGAATATCTCCTCCAAASGACAGTGGAAGAAACTGGTCCTGGYGCGGTTTTTACCCTTTCTTTCTGTTTCCGTGGTAGCAGCCTGGCATCAAGGAGAAGGAGCAGAGGCGGCTGTGGGGCTGGCGGCGGGTAGCTCTCGCCAGGGGCTGCTCTGAAGGAAAGACATAATCCCAGCCGGCCAGGGGCCAGGGAAACCCTCGGAGCTGCTTCGCGGCCTGTGCGGGGGCCCCGGGGACGTGCTGTGCATCTAGGTGCGTCCCAGGTGTCCGCACACGCTGCACCCCCTGGCACTAGCGGGCAGGGGGACGGGGTGCCCGCGTCCCGGCATCCCCATGGGCYGGTGCTGCCGGCAGGGAGGTGCAGGCGGCCCCACTGAGGCAGYGAGCGGCCTCGCGGCGGCCGCGCTGAGCACGTGCCCAGGCGCTCGGCCCCAGGCCCTACGGCAGCGCCAGGCTCCTGCCCAGGCCCTCTGCAAGGCACAGGTGCCGCTGCAAGGGAGCCACGGGGAGGCAGCCCCGGGCAGGCTGCAGCCTGGGATAAGTTTCATGGCACCACCTGAAATGCCCGGTGGTCCTGTGGTAAAGAAAACATATGTGCTCTGCGTGCTGAGGTGAGGCGGCGTGTCCCGCACAGTTTGGCCTTGGCGCTGCGTGGCTGGGAGAAATGCCCTGCGGATCATCGTGGCACTGGAGGCAAAAGCAGTTGTCCCCCGGGCAGATGCCCGGTGAGGCGCCTGTGAGGGCGCRGGGCCGGGAGCCGGCGTGGCTGCCYGCGAGGCCGGGGAGGGCCGTGCTGCACTGCAGCCGCCGGCTCCCTCGCACCCCGTGAGGCTCCGGCAGCGACGGGAACGCGAGCCCGGGGCCGCGCAGGTGCAGGCGGCTGCAGCGAGATGTGTTTGCATCACTGCGACCCGCGGGAGCGGGATGCCTTTTGCCGAAGGACCGGGAGCTACAGGGAGCGTGTGGCTGCATTACGAGCGGGTTAAATGGCCCTTCCTTGCTGGAAGCTGGGTCTCCTTGTCAAGGGATGGTTTCTACCCCTCCCTCCGTGTTGCCATCAGACAAAGAACGGGAAGGCAGGGGGAGGGGACAAGGCTGTATCTAGGTTATCGGGTCTAGTCTTCCCCCCCATAGGAATAAACCAAAGCCCCCGCCATGCAGGCCTGCAACGCATCTGGCAAGGCTGCCGCCAGCTGCTGGGAACACCAGGGCACTCTCGGTGCCCTGCCAGGAACGCCAGGGTGCTCACGGAGCCCTGCAGCAGCGGCGGCCACTGCCTCCCGGCAAGGGGTTTGCAGGGGCTGCTGAGGGTCGGGCGGGCGGCTCCCGCTGGTAYCTCTGGAGCATCCACCGCCTCCCCCAGCCCTGCCTGCCCCGGGCCGGGCGCTGCAGTCCCTCCCGCTGCAGCCCACCCGCTGCAGCCCTCCCGCTGCCGGCTGCGCTGCGAGTGCAGCGGCCTCCCCGAGCCCGAGGTACCGCGGGCGGCCCAGCCGCCTCCTGCCACCTCCGTCACCTCCCATCACCTCCCGCCAGGAGGGAGCCGGGGAGCAGGGCTGCCACCACCAACCACCCGCCCAGCGCAGCCCCTGCTCAGCAGCCAGAACAAAGCAGCCGAGGGAAGGCTGGTAATGCGAGCAGCGGATGCACGTCATTAACCTGGCCTAATCCCCTATTCATTATCAGCCACATTGACCGTCGTCCCCATCGTGAATTTATTACAGGGCCCGGGAGCAGTTGGGGGGGCTGCAGGCTGCGCCTCGGATGCGTAACGCTGCTCCCTGAGCAGCCGCTCGGAGCCCTGGCGAGGTTTCACAGCACTGGTAGCACTGCTACCAGTGAGCGGGTAGATATGTCTCCTGCCTCAAGGTGTTTCTCGTGCCTGTCTGCACACCTTGGCCTTGCCACTTCCCCAGCTGTCGCCTTGCATTCCTCCGTGGAAGTCAGGAGCTGGAAAATTGCGTGCACAAAGCTGAGCCCTTGGCTGCCTCTTTGTAAAATGGGGGCTTGCCTTTCAGAGGTGGCACAGGGAGAGAAGGCAGGAGAAAGAGGATGCTGTCTGCTCTGAGACCTGGAATATCCAAAATCCAAACTTTCCTCTCCCTCCCTCCCCCAAATCACTGACAGAAAATCCAGGAAATATTTAAGGAGACTTCAGGAGTCCTTTTCTCCTGATTTGAGAGCTTTTTGTAGTACTTTCTTYAGGTGTTTAGGACCCAGCACTGAGAAGCCTGCTCTAGACTTTGCAAGCTCCCAGCTCCAGCAGCAAAGCCTGCAAAGACATGGCCAAGTCTTGCAATGTGCACAGCACRGCTGGCAGCATCTGGCAGCTCTGGGCAAAGTGTCCCCTCAGGGCCGTGTAAGGGACAAGCCACGAACATTCCTGTGAACCTTGGAGTTGGCTCGTAGCTCCTTCCCTCCTTATTTCTCCCCRTGTAAGAAAAAGGAGTTAAAGGAATAAAAGAGAGGGCAACAGACTCCTCAAAGAGAAGCTACAGCCAGGCAGCCAAGGCCCCTGGGCTTGTCCTGCTCAGCCCACACCATCAGCCCCACAGAGAGGCTGCTTAGGGAAACACGGAGTCATCATGGCTGGAAAAGACCCTCAAGATCATTGAGCCAGACACCTGCACTCTCCTCTCTGGAGATCTCYGCTGCCTGGGCTTCCTTCCCACCTGCTTGACCTGATCCTCACTTACCTCCAGGGCTTTATTCGCTCCCTGTTATCGTAATAGCCAGATGCTTCACTTCCTTGAATGCACTGATCCTTGCAACTGTCCAAGGAGCTCTTAGGCCAGGGGGAGACAGGAGGCAGATGCCCTAGTGCTTCCTGCAGCCTGCAGTACGGGAGCCTCCTACTCTGGGAAACTCTCCCCTCTCTTACTGGAGAATTGGCACCTTGTGGCCAGGAAGAGCGAGCAATAGCCATGTCTGCCCTCAGTCTTTGGCCTCCTCCACAGTCATCACCATCAGACCCCTCCGAGAYGCCCTCACGAGCAGGGTGTGTGGGGTGAGAGCTGCACGGTGCCCGGGGGCTGCGGCACGGCCAGGCCCCACAGCACATGTGGAACAGGGTGCACCRGCAGAGGATGAGCAAGGGGCAGGAGAGAGCAGAGCTGGCGGGACCAGCCTTCCCCACTCTGCCACATGGATGGCCTTTCCTGGCTGGCAGCAGCTCTGAGGAAGCTGGAGCAAGGCACGCGGAGCCCCGGGGGACGCTGTGTCAGCGGGCAAGGTGCAGACTGCCCGTGACGGGCGCACGAGTGCGCCGCGGCCGCGGAGCCCTCAGCTCGCAGCCCCGGCACAGGCCGCTCCCGCTTGCCACGGCCCGTGCCGGGCCGCCCACGCTGGCGTGCGCTGCTCCCGAGGAAGGCGGTGACAGCTAAGGGTGCCCCTGCTCAATGGGGAAGAGCGGGGACATCCCCCAGGCACGTCTGTCCTCTGGGCAAGGTGAGAGGGAGCAGGGGCGAAGCCCTTAGGACGTTACCCACTGTGTCCTGTGTGGGTGGCTGCTGCTGGGCTCCTACAGATGCAATACAGCCCCTCCGAGGGGACACCTCTTCTCCTGGTTTAACATAAAACACCTTCTAAAGCAAAACGAGATGCATACAGGCACCTGCACCCCTCTCCTTCCTAAGGGTGGCCCTTCAGCAAGGTCTGTAACACCTCAGGATATTAAAGCTTACATAAAACATAAAATTTTCCTTATGTAGAGCAGCCCTCTGTGTCTGCATCAAAGAACTGACGTGGAAGTGCTGGGCTGGGACACCATCTGCCCACACAGACTAGCCCCATCCTTGAACAAAACCCCTCTGCCCTCCTCTGTGTCTCTGTGTGACCTGGCTGAACTGCCACCAGYGTCCTAGGCTGGTGCTGACAGTGTCCCTACCTCTGCCACCTCTGATCTGTCCCGCTCTCCAAGAGGTGTCTCACCCATCAAAGGACAGTTTTCTGTCTGACCACTTGCCTGCTACTGCACAGCCAGTGRGGTCTGCTGAGAGAAGCAAAAAAAGAAATCAAAAGGATTACAAGAAATAATTTAGTGTGGGTTACTTGAACTGAAGTGGTAACCAAAATAGGAAAGTGCTTACCAAGCATGCTGTCCTTGTCCTGAAAAAATAACCATCTAGTGAGACAAAGCACCGAGGAGCCAAGTGATTGGAGTTGGAGAGGCTCTAGTTTGCAGCTGTTTCATATATTGAAGGCATTTGGCTTCCATCCCTTTTATCTTCTTTTCTGGATTCAACCCTCCAGCCTCCCTTCCCCATCAACTGCAACTTTTCTTCTGTGGCCCGTTCTCTCCCAACACCCAGCTTCTTCCCAGGGTGGTCAGGTTTGCTAATGAGAAAAAGAAGAGACAGAGATAAGCAAGTGAGGACTGACCCAAGCCAAGTGTGCCCTTACCTGATAAGGAAGGGCAGGGAGGCCAGAAACCACCCAGGGCCTTCCCTTTTACTGGTTTGTTTTCTGTGGAAGAAACAAGGAGGAGAAAGTGAGGAATGAAAGTTGAAGTTGATAAAATCCTTGGCAGACATGACAGACACCTCTGATCTACAGGCTGGAGGTAAAATCAGAGGTTGTTCCACCCCTGCCTTCCTCTAAAGAGYTCAGAGCACGTAGCACAGTGAGTAGCACAGTCTCCTGTGGGACAGAGGGGCTCTTCTCTCTGGTGTGGCCAAGCTTGCGAGGCCTTGAGTTAAATCCCAAGAGGTTTTGATGCCAGGGTTGGACACATGATCATTTTTGAAAGGGAAGTCCATTCCAAATTTCAGGGCATGTGCTTAACTTGGAGGGACTAAAATATTGGTAGTCTTCATGAGAATGGGGAAAAAGAAAAGAAAGTGGAGGTGCACAGACCTTACAGCTTCTGATTAGCAGTGAAGTCAGCAGCGCTTGATCTGCTGCTGTTATTTGGAGGTAGTCATTASTATGTTCAGTGTTTTAAGAGCTCCACTTTTCAACTTCTGAAGCTAGTGTGATATATAGAAAAGTATGCTAGAAACTAGATGCTCCTCCATGAAGGGTCTTACTGCTAAAATCTTCAAGGTTCTTCAAGGTTCTTCAAGGAATTTCAAGGAACTTCAAGGTTCGCTTCAAGGAGCACCTCGTGACAAGASAGCAAGTCTTCATTATACCCGAATGATGATTTTTTTCACTCTTTCTCCCTGTGCAGGGCAGGTGGAGAGCAAAAACGAAGCCGCCATGTCTGAACTGGTCCCAGARCCGCGGCAAAAACCGGCTGTGCCAATGAAGCCAATGGGCATTAATGCCAACTTGCTGGGCTACATCGGGATCGACACCATCATCGAGCAGATGCGCAAGAAGACCATGAAGACAGGTTTCGACTTCAACATCATGGTTGTAGGTAGGCAGGGATCAACTGAAGTCCTGGGAACCACGGTAGGACAGTCTCCCAAGAGTCTATATGGGAGCGCGAGCCCCATTGGGAGGTATGAGGGAGCAGGCAGGGCTTGCAGTGGGGGCACAGAGCAGCAGGCACAAGGCAAGGAGATGTCTCCAGAGTTTTCTCTCGCTAGCCTGGTTCCTGGGTCCTCTGGGCCTCCACATCCCCCAGCTGTGGCAGATGTCATGAGCTTCCTCTTTGCAATCTTCAGGTCAGAGCGGGCTGGGGAAGTCGACGTTGGTGAACACCCTCTTCAAATCCCAGGTGAGCCGCAAATCTTCAGGCTGGAACCGTGAGGAGAAGATCCCCAAGACGGTGGAGATCAAAGCCATTGGACATGGTAAGAACCACACGGCTGTAGGGTGGGCAATTCCCGTTATCCTCAAGAGCTCTTTAGGGCACAGAGGGAGCCCAAATCCATTTTCCTGTGACAAAGTGGTTTAGTGCACAGGTTATCAACATTTTAGTAGGGAACGGAGGTGGGATCACAGCTGTCCAGGCATGCAGTGACCCAGCCTGGCCCGTTGGTTCTTGCTGGGCAGGGGTAAGGGCAGAGCACTCTTGTTCCCTTGCAGGGCACAGAGCCGTATTTCACGATGGAGCAAGTCCCCAGGAGGTGTATGATCGTTTGTAATTTCTTCCCCAGTCATTGAAGAAGGTGGTGTCAAGATGAAGCTGACTGTGATTGACACCCCAGGATTTGGGGACCAGATCAACAACGAGAACTGGTGAGTATTACCCAGCCAGGACCCTGTGTCCCAGAAAGGGCTGCATTTAATGCAGCAGAGAGTAACTCCCACCTATTGCACTTGGGGGCTGGGGAAAGTCATGGGCATGTGAAATTGTGAGCGCCCTGGTTTCATGTGCTTGCTTGGAGGTAGGCACATACACACAGCACGTGCCTGCTTCTGTGCCTTAAAAACCCTTGGCCTCATTCAGACACTCACCTCCACCCACTCCTTCTCTCCCAACCCTGCGGCCCTCTCCTGATGCCTGCAAAATGCAGTGATGCTGTCACACCACTCACWGCCAGGGAGTCAGACAAAAACCTAATCCCCTTCCCGGCCTGACAGTTCCCCCAAATTCTACATATATTCCTGTACCTGAAATTCAGCAGATTCAAGTTCTTTTGCCCATACTGAACCATTTTCATTTCCCCCTATATTTCTCTCAAAGAGCAGCCTTCAGCAGCTCCTTACCATGCTACCAGTGGCTCTTTCTTTTCCCCTTCCATTGATTTAAYCACTAATTTCAAGAGTGGTTTTGCAAGAACCCCTGATCTCAGCTACAGAAACTCTTACACATCCATACTGACAGTGAGGTTCTAGTAGAGGATTTTTTCTTACCCTAGAGCCYGTTTTACTGCTGTCAGAGCTGGGAACACCGTAGGCAGGAACATGAGGAGATTTGTACCTGTCTATTCATCTGTCTCTCCCACCCTAACAGCTGGGAACCTATTGAGAAATACATCAACGAGCAGTATGAGAAGTTTTTGAAAGAGGAGGTGAATATTGCAAGGAAGAAACGAATCCCAGACACACGAGTGCACTGCTGCCTCTACTTCATCTCCCCCACAGGCCACTCGTATGTATAGAGCCTCCTTCCTGCCTTTCTCAAGCCCCTAGTGTTGTTGTGGAAGGTAAATACTCTGCACTGCTCTATCAGCCATGGGCCCAGGGATCCTGCCTGTGGGGCAGGCCACACTTGGGGCATTTGGGGCTTGAAAGGGGTCTAGATAATAAGAGAAGAGATTATGGTGGTAGCAAGCAGAGAATGAGCAAGGGAGGTTTCATCAATGCACTGATGCCTGGAAGGGTCATTAGTATGACATCTGGGGAGGGTAAAATGACCCCTTTCCTGTTGCTCCCTCCCTGGCTGCAGCCTGCGGCCTCTGGACCTGGAGTTCATGAAACATCTCAGCAAGGTAGTGAACATCATCCCTGTTATTGCCAAGGCTGACACCATGACTTTGGAGGAGAAGACTGAATTCAAACAAAGAGTGAGTATCTCCTCCTTTGCACGGGACCCTTCCCCACCCCGGCTCAAGTCCTCACCTTGCTGCACACTTCCTTGGGAATAGCCTCTCCAGCCTTTCCCCTCTGGAAGGATGTGCCAAGCATGTTTGCCCAACTGTCCTGCCTGCCTTCCCTTCAAGCTCGTGTGGCTCTTGGCTTCAAAAGGTTCTCTCCGTTCAGGTGCGCAAAGAGCTAGAAGTAAATGGCATCGAGTTTTACCCCCAGAAAGAATTTGATGAGGACCTGGAGGATAAAACAGAGAACGACAAAATCAGGGTAGGAAACACTTCATCATGGGAGCAAAGTGGGGAGAGTGGCAAAGACTGGTAAAATTTAATGTATGTTCCAAACACAAATTCACTGGAAGGTTTGAAGTGCTTTATGGTACCCGGGTGAAAAAAAATGCAATAAATGTAGGGGATGGTCCTTCATCCAGGACCTTCATTCAGTTTAATTTGTCCTTGTCATTATCACAGCGTGCTCTAAGGGCCGAGTGAGGAAAGACTGTATTTAATCTTCCCTTGCTGAATGCTATTTGGCTTATGTTAAGGATTTAAGAGGCCTGGTATGCAGCTGATGCCTGAYGTTTGACTGTCCCATACACCTGCCCCATAAGCACTTACAACCACTGACCAAAACCTTTCTAAAAAGCAGCTTTGTTTCTTGCTCTCCTAGTCCTTGTGAAAAGGCTCGTCCCATCAGAGTACTGTGCAGCCTGTGTTCATGATCAGGTTGTGCCCAGGGTTATGTCTGTGCTCTTGTAGCAATGTTGACTCATTCTAATTGGAACTAGTTCTCACTAGTTCACCTGCTTAGTGATTCCTCCCACTGCTCAGGCATTTGTAGGGAACCACGTCATCTTMTGCTGGCCTTCTGGTCAGCTAAACCGGACAAGCTCCCTAAAATGGGCTTCCCATTTCTCAGTTYTCCATCCTCCTCACTTTTCTTTTCTGTGCTTGCTCCAGTTTGACTTGATTTCCTAGCTAAGTTTTCTGATGTGGATACTCTGTGGAGAGGTCTGAGCTATAAGCCCTTGGGCCATAYGTACTTCAAACAAACGCAGCACATCACTGCCTTGTGGGCATCTTGTGACCGACTAGCACAGGCCTCCTTCAGTACTCGCTTGTCCATGAGCTCCCAAGCCCCGGCAGAAATTCTTGCTGATACTTCCTAAACGCTGCCCTTTGTGCCACCACCTTCTGCACATCTTCCTGGATAATAACCCACCCTGCCTCCATGCCCACAATGCCTCCCGCCTCTCTGACGTTCGTGCTTTTAATTATCCCACTCCTCATTCCTGTGGTAAGGCCATTAGTGAAACCAAATTGGCTTCCAGTCAAAAACAGTCCTCAATACTCCACAGGTATCTGCCTTGCARCCTGACACTTTCTGCTTTCTTTCTTTCTGCTCTCTCTGCTTCCATATCCCATCATAAATTCCCATGTAACCCAGCTTAATTAATCATTTCCTATATGGCAAAACAACACAATACATATTCTTGGGAGGAGCAGATGTGTGTGACTGTTCTACACATTTTGTTCTGCATTTCAGCCCCATGGTCTTGAGTTGATAGTTTCTAACGTAAGAATCACCTTAAAACAAACAAACTAAAAAAACCCCACTCTATTCCTCTAGTAACTGAAGTTCCTTCCTTTCCAGCCTTCCCAGGCTCAGGATTATCTATAAAACTTAGCAAGTCTATGAACCTTATGGAGATACTAGAGTCTCCTGCACCCTGCACTCTGGGGACAGGTGCTTTCTCTCAGTCTGATTTTAGGGATTTTAGGTTCCCTGATAGCCTCATCTATGGTCCAAGAGGGGCACTGCATCTCATCTCTGGCCCTTCTGAGTGCAACCATTTCAGATATTAGATTTTGGACATTCATGCATCCTGTTTGGGGAGATTATTTTGCATCCTCTCCTTTTTCTGCTAAGGGATTACAAACTGTTTGGTGAGAAATGCTCACTGCAAACTAKCCCTAAGAGGGGCCTTCAGCCAATAGACCTTCTCCTGGTTACACCAAGGAATTGCCCTCTGGTCGCATCCTCCCCTTATGAAATGCTGAGGATGTGTGCAGAAAACCCCCGCCCCATTCTCAGATGCCTTGGCACCGCTGCCAGCTGCATGCTGAGTGCTGAGCTCTGGAGGGGCAAGGACACCTATAAGATAAGGGCTCAAAACGCCAGGGATAGCGCTCATGGGTGAAGGGGGCAGCCAGTTGAAGTGTCGCTCTGCCAAAGTTGTTACTTTCCCRCAAAAAAGGCTTTGTGCTTGGCGAGCTGAGCGGAGGGAAGGCGCATGGGGAGCGGTGCTGCTCGCTGCAATGGGCTCCATAGGTGTCTCCTGCTGTCTCTCCCCAGCAGGACAGCATGCCGTTCGCAGTGGTGGGCAGCGACAAGGAGTACCAGGTGAACGGCAAGAGAGTCCTGGGCAGAAAAACACCTTGGGGGATCATTGAAGGTAAAGAAACTTGTGCTTCGGGGGGACTAAAGCACCTCCGCAGGCTCCAGTAATAGACCAAGGTCTGAATAAATTTCCCATTGCTACTTTCCCGTGCCTTTTGTGATAAGCTTTGTAAAGCCAAGCAAAAGAAGAAATTTCAGATAGCTCTGTTTGTAAGGAACTGCTATGGCTGCTGCAGCACTGCTACCTGGCAGAAGATGGAACCAAGCTGAAACCACCAGGGGTGAAGCTGATCTTCTGAGGTTTCCCTGATTTTCAAGGGAAAATTCCCATATGACTGCTCAGTGCCTGACGGTGCATCCATGCAGTGCTTGACAGTGCCTGGTGTCCGCACAACTGTCTGTCCTCCAACTGTCCGCCTATATGCAGGCTCTGCCCACCAGGAAGTGTCTCACRGCAGCGACCTTCCCAGGCTCTGTAACCACAAAGGGTTATTAACAAAATAAAGCATAACAACTACTTCCTTTCTTTGTTTCTTTTCAGTGGAAAACCTCACTCACTGCGAATTTGCCCTACTTCGAGACTTTGTCATCAGGTGAGGCGGCGGTCATGCGCTAGCTTGTTCTTGGTGAGAAAGAAACCTTCCTGAGTCGTGAGACAGCCCAAGTAGAGCGAAATATCCCCCACGGGAGGGAAGAAGCAGCACATTCCAAGCAGTTAAAGCTTGTCCGGACACTCCAAAGGATAGTTTGGACAGGTTAAGGGGTAGGATGTTCTAGTGGCTGTCTTAGGATGTTCTAGTGGCTGTCTTAGTGATGTGTGTCTAGCACTAGTTTGCAGGTATGAGGTGGATGCTTCGAGGAAAAAGGGGGTGGGTGCTAGCACTCCATGCCATCCCATATGCCCAGGGATCCCATAGCCTGCCATGCCAGCCATTAACCATATTATGTGGCAAGAGCTTCTAGTTGTTGCCAACATGTGACTTGATTGGAATAAGTGGGAAAGAGGCTCCTACTCAGCCCTACGCCCTGTGACTGACCAGTCTTGAGGAATGGCCTAGAACATGTGATGCAGAGGTGAAAGGATTGGTATTTTATTCAGCTTTCATTGTCCTGTTTTATTCATACTCTATTTTATGACACTATCTCAGCACAAATTATATCTATTCTGAATTCTGYAGAAGATTTGCAAAGGGCCGGGGTGACAATAAGGTTTCAAAACAGGACCAAAACTAACTAACTAACTAACTAACTAAMTAGGAAATACTGCAGGAGATACATTATAAAGCCATAGCTCTGTGACTCATAACAGCTGTGAATATGGTGGTAACAAGACACTTGGCCAGATACAGAGCCCTGACATCATTCTACTATCCTCTAGTGCTCAGGACAAGTTCTTTACAGTGGTACCTACCACAGCAGTTGTGCTTTCCCCAAATCTTCTACTAGAAACATCCTAACCAAGCGATAGTCACAAAACAAAAAGCAAACCAAGCCCACRGGCTTTTTAAAGAGGTTAGAGACTACTGCTCATGGCAGGTTATGGTCCCCAGTGGACCTAATCCACATCATCATCTCAGCTCTGATGGAGGCAGGATGTGAGAAGAGATGAGTCACTGTTGCTCTTGCACACCAGAAAGGCCAGTAAATATCCCCATTGGCACTGGTTTGAGAGGGGCAAGACATTATTGAACAGAACCAGGGGGTTCAGCCAATATCCTGCATCCTGTGCGTGTATTCTCTTGAAAGATGATGCTGCAGCTATCRGTTGTGTTATGGTAGTTGTACAGTAAGAGCAGGGATGTTCAATAGCCAGACTGACTGGAGGAATCTTTCGTTTATCTAGGGGAATAAAAGGATCCTCAGAACACTAGCCCTGACAGTGCTGATGCTGAGTTTTGTAACCTCTTTCCRACCCCATCTCGGCTTTGTCTTCTGCAGGACCCACCTTCAAGACCTAAAAGAAGTGACCCACAACATCCACTATGAGACCTACAGGGCCAAGCGGCTGAACGACAACGGAGGGCTGCCCCCCATGACGGCCGAGACAGAGGAAAGCCATGAAAGTAACCTGTGAATGACCCTCCCTGCTGTCACCCGCTGTCTCTGCTACCCTTGAGCCTACCACGGGCCTGTCTCTGAAGCATGTGGTGCATCCTGTGTGTGTGGGAGAGGATGTGTGTGAGTATGTGTGTGAGTGGACCTGTGTGCCAGGGATGGACCAAGGGCACCTCCTCTCTCCCTCCCTGTATGTCCTCATTTCTGATTTGCCTTTTGCACTGCGCTGACTGTCTGTCATCTTCCTTTTTCTCATGTTCTGTGGCTCTGATGTGTGTTTTGCTTAGGGGAAATAGTGCTGGGGGGGTTACTTGGGGGGCACRAGGGCTCTGGTGGTGGGAGGTGTGGGGTAGGCTGTAGTCCCATGTTTATCCCTTAGAAACACAGCAAGGAGAGACTCCAAGGCTAGATGGTGGAGTCAGTGCATGCAGCATCTTCCAGTGAGGGCAGCCAAGCTCTCTGATGGGCCTTTGTGGGTGGGAAGGCAGTAGCTGGGCTGGAGGAGGGCAGTAGTTTATCCCCACTTCTTGCTGTGGCTTCCCCCGGGAAAACAGAAACATGGAAGTGGCTGGAGGGGAAGGTGACACASTCACATGTTCCGAGGTGCAGGCACTGACTGATGGGACGCACAGAATTAGTTCTTGGGCCTCAGCATCTATCTGAGAAGTGTCAAAGTACTTGGGCCAAAGTACTCCAGGGAAATAGCTCTGTTAAAAAAAAAAAAGGGGGGGGAAGGGGTAAAAAGGCAAAACCAGAAGGAGCAGAATGTGTTTCTGCRGCAGAGGATGTCATGTCCTGAGGCTCCCCTACCTCATGCCTGGCTGCAGCAGTCTCTTTGGCCTCCCTCCACCACCACTGAGCTGGTCCTGGCCGAACCTTTTCCCTGCAGCCCTGTCCCATTGCTGAGGGGTGCAGGGAACACTGTGTCACACAGGGCTGGCTGGGGACTCCTTGGGGACAGCTCTGCTCAGCACATGGCCTTTGGGCTCTCAGAGGGGTCTGAGAGAGTCACGGAGAGTGATGCACTGAACCAGGGTGTCTCCTTTGGTCTCCACCGTGGGAGACCAAGAAAACACACCGTGGGAACACAAGAAAAACCTTCTTTTCACTAAAACATCCGTTTGCTTCTCCAGCACTCTTAGCCTGTGCTGGCCTGCTGCTCCTCTTGCTGCCCTCTCAGCTTCTATGTCCTCTTTTTCTGTTTCCTCTCTATGTTCTCTTCTATGTCCTATTTTTCTCCTCATTCCCCTTTACCCCTCTGTGTCTTCCTAATTTCATTTCTTTCCCTTTTACTTTCTCTGTTTCTACCCTTTCTGTCCCTCTTTCACTTTCTCCAAGCGCTTTCGTGTTCCTCTTCTCCAAGCTGTTTCTTCCTTCTCCCTCGCGGTCTCTTCAGCAGCTCTCACACGTGCTGTGTCGTTGTGCCACGTTTAGAAGATACTGTTTTACCTTCCCTTGAAGGGGACTGGGGGCGAAGGGAAAGACCCGGCAGACTGTGGAGCAGCAGCTTTGCTGCAGGCTTTGTTGTCACGTTTAGCTGGTGGCCATAGGTCAGGTTGGATTCATTTTCACGTTGTAGAAGATGTTGCTTCTACCATGTACGGTGAGCATGAAGAGACGTCACTGAATTTAGTTACGTAGAAGGGCACTTTCCCCCTTTTGCCCCAGGTTCCTGTGCACTGGGGCTCCCCGTCCTCCCTGGGGCTCAGATGCCACCACGTGTGTTTGCGATGCTGCTGGGGCAGAGAGCTGCTGTGGCTGCGGTGCCAGCCCTCCTCGCCCAGCAGCACGGAGGCGGCCTCACATCTCTTATTAAGGAGCTGATTCCCCTCTTCGTAGAGAGGCCGAGCCACAAGCCAGTGCCGTCACCCAGAGCAGCTTCAGTGTTCTCAGTCTGAGGCACTTTAATCCAGAGGCATCTTGGTGTCTGATCTCTGGCAGAGGAGCCCTGCCAGCTCCTTCCCGGGAAGCGCCGGGGCTGACTGCATGGAAGGTGGGAGGCGAGGATGGGAATCAGCCCCTCCGGGCAGACACAACTGCTGACAGCCCCTGCCTGTCGTGTCACCCGCTTGGCAGGGGATGTCACTTCCAGAAGAGCGGTAGGTTGCATTTGAACGCACGTGGAGGCTGCCATGGAGCGGGACTGAGGCAGCGTGAGTAACAGGAGGTGTAGGGGGTTAGGGACGGGGCAGATCGCAGCGAGGGAAGAGCTGGGGATGATTCGAGCGGAGTCYGATGTTTGCTGACAGAGCTGTATGGGGGCCAGCCCTGGGAAGGCAGAAAGTGCTTCAGAGACAGAAAGCCTTGGCAGAACCATCTAAGAGCACATGTCTGTGGTRTAGCTTTCTCTGTTGTTGTCATTGCGAAGCAAAAGTCTCTCCAGTTTCGCTCCTACCTGTCCACACAAATCAGGCATTCTCAACACCACAAGGACATGAAGACCCTATTGGTCTTTCTTGGTCCTTTTACCACCCAAGTTCATGGCTCCCAGTGCTCCTGTATGCAGTGTGCACATAGTGTTACATCCTTCTTCCCACATACACCAGACCTCCTCAACCCAATAGAGAATAGAAGCATCTCCACTGGTGCAAGCAGCTGTATCACGGACATCAAGAACAGGGAAAACATCCAGTTATTGCTGCTTCTCCTCCCATCCGTCATGGTCATCACAGACATGCGCAGGGTAAGAGCCTCCACGTGGAGGCCTCATCTCCACGTGGCCAGAGCTGCTTCCCCAGCGTGGACATCGCTCCGACACCATCCCCGTGTGCTCCGCTGCAGCTGCTGCTGCCCATCTCGTACATTTTAAGCCTTGTTTTAAAGTTTTAAGCCCTGTGCTACAGGAAAGACGTCTCCAACGCTCCTCTTCTTCACTGCACTGAAGGCTGAAGCTCCATCACGTCTAGCGGGTGCCTACAGAGGTGCTTCCTGCAGTTGCTTTCTTACATGTCTCTCTCTTACGGCCGTGCTGCTGCTATAAAGGACCTTTCTTGACATTGGGCTTCGTCACTGCAGGCTGAGACATGCACTGGTGCTGCCAAGTGCTGCAGGGTGCCTTCTTGTCTGCGGTGTGTTCACTTTTGGGCCTAAACACGGGTTATGGCAGAGAGGCAACAGTGCCCTGCTTAGTGAAGGTGCACCAAGTGGTCTTCATGCAAAAACAGAGGGAGATTTTTCCATTGTTTTTTTACCTTGTTTCCAGCTCTGCTCTGCAATTCCCTGTCAGGTCCTGGACTAATCCTAACGGACCCATAAAAGTTCACTGAGCAAAGCGAGCTCAGGTAACCCACGCTGCCATCCGGCCATCCAGACATCCCAAGGGCAACTGCATATCCGCCAGAAAGGCTTCCCACATCCGCAAGGGGCAGCAAGTCAAAAACTGCCCATGTTGGGTAACCGCAGGAGGTAGGAGGAGTCTGTTGGGAGAAAGGTATTGGAGAAGTTGGGAAAAGCCCCGGTGGATGGAAGCTCTCTCGTGCCACCGGCTGAGCCAGGCAGCCGCGTGAAGCCCTTCCTGCCCCCTCTTTAGGGGCACTCCAAGCAGAAAGAGGCCAGACTTTACCGGGAAGGTCACAGTCTTTTAGCATTCAGAGACTTGGAAACCCTTTTCCATGTCAGTGATTCCCAAAGGAGGCTTGGGACATGCCGCTTGCAACATGCGGTAGACTCCAGAGGCCTAGACGGGATAACGTATCAATTAGGCTGGCTAAGGTGTTAACTAACGTTACGGCCCTTAAGGAGAGCGAGAAGGGCTGTGTTTCGGCACTAGTATTTGTGGTTAATTGCAAGGGAACGTTAACGATGAGTGGATGTTTTTGAGCTCGGAGACGGGAGGTAAAGCGAGGTGCTGGAAGGGTTGGATGCAGGAGGGAAGGGGAGGGCTTGGGGGAGGCAGGATTGGAGAGCTGGGAAGCACTGACCCAAAAAGCTTTCCCCGAGCGCGGCCAGGCCAGTGCGGCCGCTGCAGATCCGCCCGGGAAGACAAGGGCACGCGCTGGAAACATCCCATGYTGCTCCGGAGCGGCGCTCTTCCCTGGAAGAGGCACAGGACTTAACGCGGGAGGAGGAGGAGGAGGAGGGATCCCCAGGGAGACACCGGGAGCCGCCTGCAGCCCCTACGGCGGGCATGAGAGGCTCGCGGGGAGAAAAAGAAATTTAAAAAAGGCAGAAAAAAAATAAATTGTGGATTAGCGAAATCGAGATTAAAATAAAAATGATGACCCTCCAAGATCAAAGCACGTTTGGAAAACGTTTATTTCTACGGTGACGCTGTCACAGGTGGGGCGGGGGGGGAGAAGGCGCCGGGTGACGTCACGGCGGCGGAGGTGGGACGTCACGCGGGGCGGGGCGCGACGTCACGCGGGGCGGGCCGTGACGTCACGCGGGGCGGGGCGCGACGTCACGCGGGGCGGCGGCGGCACAAGGCGGGGGCGGGGCAAGATGGCGCTGAACAGGAACCACTCGCAGCAGGGCGGCGTCGTCGTCCCCAATGCCGAGAGGTGGCGGCCGGGGGGAGCCCCGGGGGGCAGCTATGGGGCGGGGGGGGGGCCCCTATGGGGGAGTTGTAGGGCTGGGGCCCCGGCTCGGGGTGCTGGGGCCTCGCAGTGGGGCGGCCGTGGGGCTGGGGCCGCAGCTGCAGGGCTGGCGGTGGGGCAGGGGCAGCGTGGGGGCCCTGCCGTGGGGCTGCGGCGGACGCAGGGCGGCTGGGGGCCCGGGGGGCTGCTGCTCAGCCCCCTGCCCGTGGGGCAGTCCCTGCACCCTTGGACCTGCCGTGCTCGTGCGGACGCGGCTGTCCCCGATGCCGGCTCGTCCCCCGCGGGCACGCCGGGACCCACAGGTCCCCTTGTCCCAGGCGCCCACGGCCCCACGCGGCGCCGCTTTCGCTCCCCCAGGGACCCTCGAGCCGCCGCCGGGCTGGGCGCTGCGCTTCCCTGCCCCTGCTTCCCTGCCGTCCCGCCGCTCCGGGAGCGAAGGATCGTTTGAGAGCCCCGTGTCCTCCCAGCTTGTTTGTGCGCGCGCTCGCGGGCCTCCGCGCAGCCCTGTTTATCTGCTGGTGTCTCTGCTGCCCGCCTCTCTCCCCGCGGTTCTTTGGGAGCGACTGGAGAAGCGTGAGGGATCTCCGAGGTGCCCGCGCTGGAGCGTCGGTCGATGGCGTTGTCAGCGGTGGCCCCCGTTAGGCTGCTCCTGCCGCCTGCGTGAGCAAACCCTGCCGCACACTCGTGACTGGCACTTATGTAATTCCTTTAGTTTTGAAAGGAGAACAGCGCTGGATCCGCAGGTCGGAGCCGGGGGGTTCTGCCCCGCTTCAGGGCGGAAGCCCTGCGGGTTGTTTTGTTTAGGTCCTCGCTGGCGCCGTTGAAACTCGCAGGCAGAATTAGAGCAAGGGATTAGCAAAGTTGGCTTTCAAAATAACCACAGAGCTGCCCAGTGTGTTCCCCTCAAGTTGGGTAACTAACGATCCCGGAGAGGCAGAGATCGCTTAAGCGATGGATTAAGCCTTAATCGCTTCAGTTCATGGCAAGACGGGGTCGGAAGCAGGCAGGTTTCTGCCCGGAGATGAGGTGAGCAGAGCAGATGCTCTTGTCCTGTGGAGCCTAAACCGTGTGATTAGTGCTGACGCTCGCCGCTTCCACATTGCTGGACTAGCTCGGCAAGTCCTGACCTCCCCTTGCCTGTGCTCAGGTGCTGCCCAGATCCGGGCTTGCCTACAGAAATCCTGGAAAGGAAGGGTGTGCTGAAGGCCTGGCAGGCTGTTTTCAGCCTGATAGCTGCTTGGAGAAACACGCTCCAAACGGTTCTGAGCTAGAATTTGTAACTYGCCGCTTGAGCTTGAGTGTTCGGAGCGTGTCGCGTGGGCCGCTGGAAGGAGGTGCCGGGGCCCGTGGCCTCCAGCCCTCGCTGCGGGGGCTCGCGAGGCGGGCGCCGGAGTCGGAGCTCCGCGGGGCGCTCGGCCGGCCGTGCCGGTCCCGAACGGCCCGGCAGCCCCGGCGCCTTGCGCTCCCTGCTTCCCTATCTGCTCGGGTATCGGCTTGTCCGAGTCGCCTGGCGGGAGAAGGCGCTGAAGTGGCTCCATGGAAGCTCTTCCCAAAGAGGCGAGCTGGCGTGGAGCACTGCTGCAGGAGGAGGCTCAGGAAGGAGTCCTGGGAATATTCGGAACACGGAGGCGCTGCTTGTATTTAGCTTAGAAGAAGTGTCTCCCTTTGGCACCTTGGAAATGGAAGAGGCTCTGCTGCGTTGTCCGCCTGTCCCTGACGGGAGGATGGAGCTTTTGGCTGTTTCCACGTTTCTCGGCCTTGCCGATTTCTCCTTTCCCCCAATAATTACACAACTCCCTGACTTGATCCGATTACTGCAACAGGCTGAATATGTGAGGGTGACGTTAGATCTGGCCTCCTCAGGCTCATGCTGAGGTGCTTATTTGTTTTTGGAGTCTTAGAGGTTTTTTTCCTTCTTYGATCTCAAGCTGAAAATGTATTGGCTTTTTTTTTTTTTATATATATATATATTTATATAATATATGTTTATATTACTGTGACATGCTGCAAGCTCCTCGCTCCCAAGGCTCTCTCATTTACTCTGCATTTATTTTTCTTACTGAATGGTTTAGGATCTGTCCCCATCTTATACTTGGTGGCACTCTTTTCCAGGCTGTCTCTTCCCATTTTTCCAAAAAAAAAAAAAAACCCCTTCTAATTCCTTGGGTTCCTCCATTTCCCTTACCTCAGCCTCCCAGAGATCTGCATGTTCTCATCAAGCTGTGGGGCCAGCGGGAGAGTTTGGTCACGTAGGCTCTGGTGATGACAACCCTGCTGCTGCCACCGGGGCTGCCCCAGCTCCCTTGCGTGGTGCATTGCTTTTCCTCATGGTTATTTACTTGAATCATGTGAAATGTGGTCAGCAGTTAGTGTGTTAATGAAGTAACTTGCTCTGGTTCCCCTGGAGCGCAGCCTGCCCCATGGGTTGGGTGTTAGGGGGCTTCTGCTTGCGCAGTGGCTGGTCCTAAGTGTGCAAATGGTCTTGGTGAGGGCTTGGCTCCCTCTGAGCTGGCCCCTGCATTTCAGTGGGAAGGTTTCCAAGCATTTGCCTCTTTCGGTGCTGCAGCCTTTGGGTGGAAGCCCTTCCCCTGAGGATAGGGGAATGCCTTCAGCTTTAACGTCTAGGAGGTGGAAAGCGAAACCATCCTTAAAGCTGTCCTTTATGGAGGAGGAGGAGGAGGAGCAGGGCTTGTCCCAGTGTGAGGTCTCTTGCTCTRCATAAATTGTCCCTCCCTGTTCAAAGAGAAAGCAGCAGAATTGGGTCTCTGGGAACCATTCCGGGGTTCTGCCGTGCTGGTCCCTCCCTGTGGTGCTGCGTGTGTCAGAGCTGTTGCTGAGGCCTCTAATTTGTCCAACTTGTCCCATTTCCTCCTGCAGCGTTCTCAAGCAGTGCAAAGATGTGGAGCTCTCCTTCAGTGACGTGGCGGGGAAGCCTGAGGCCTTCAAGGGCACCAAGAAAGGAATGCTGTACCTCACTCCTTACAGGGTAGGTGTGATGCCAGCAGGGCCTCCACTTTCCAAAGGGATCTCGGACCTCCAGCCCAGAAACTTCCTCAGTGAAAGGAGAAATGATTTCTAAGTGACGAGGCGCTGAGAGTACTAGAGAGAAGRAGGAGTGGAGGAAATAGGACAGTCTATCCTTGTATGGGTATCCCAGTTCCCTGCTAAAGCTCATGCCAACTGGGAAATATCCCATGTAGAGAATAAATAGTGTGTGATGTATCGGTCAATATTACTCTMTGAAAACTGTCCAGTTTATCCTTAAAGATAGAACAAGAAAAMTGTTCATTTGTATATTGTGAGGAAGAACTTCTTTCCTGTGAGGGTGCCAGAGYCCTGGCACAGGCTGCCCAGGGAGGCTGTGGAGTCTCCTTCTCTGGAGAKCTTCCAAACCCGCCTGGATGCCGCCCTGTGCCCCGTGCTCTGGGTGTCCCTGCTGGAGCAGGGGGTTGGACTGGATGATCTCCAGAGGTCCCTTCCAACCCCGAACAGTCTGTGATTCTGTTATTGTGGAATGGAAGTGCTCCAGGTGAGTGAGTTGTGAGATCGAGCCTGTTTGGGGCGTGAAGGCCGTGCAACTGAAGTAACGTCCCACACACCAACGCTAGACACTCAGCTCCCCACAGCAGTGTTTAGACTGCCCGTCTGAGGCCACTGCCACAGCCAGAACCCCATGGTCAGCCTTTGTACCTAAACCAACTTCTTCAAGCTTTCCTTCCTGTCTTACAGATGATCTTTGTGTCGAAGGGCAAGGATCCCATGCTGTCTTTCATGATGCCATTTTATTTGGTGAAAGGATGTTCTATTGAGCAGCCCGTTTTCTCTGCCAATTACATCAAAGGACAGATTCAGGCTGAGGCAGGAGGTACGTGCCCGTGCTCTGCAGACCTGCTCTTCCTAACTTTCCCAAGCCCTCTCTGCTCTGCTGAACGTCAGGTGAAGGGCTCGCTTGCACGGGAAGAGTGGCCAGTGTAGCTGCAGCAGCACCACGAGCACGTGGTCACTAGCAGCACCACTAGCCCTTAGTCACTAAGGGGGCTCCTGGCTTCTGGATTTTGAGGTGTGATTTCAGTGTYACCTTCTGCCCCCAAAGCTCATAACTGACTTCAGTAGGGTGGCTTTTATTTAATCTTTTAAGCTCTGTCTTGCTGTTTACTTGGTTTGTACCTGTTTTCCCTTAGCTTTGACTTGAAAGGGTGCTTAAGTGACCAAGTCACCAGCCACTATGATTGTTAGATATATTGAGCAACTATACATGGATATATTGAGCAACTATACATACTTTGTGGAGACCAATGTGTACATTGGAGACACGTGTACATTTGTATGCATCTCAAACACTGCTTTGCATCAGTGATTCAGCTTTGTTCACAACTTGATGCTGAAACTGATAGGAACTATAGCAACAGTCTTGACCAAACCTGGGGAATTGCAGATAATAAACAGGATTAGAAAACAGAGCTTTTGGTTCACGCTTCCTCCCTCTTAAGCTCCAGGACAAGTCTGTGTGCACTTTGATGCACTTGGAGAGCTTTCTGCTCTTGCTTCATGCTTCTAATAGTGCTTTAGGGAGACTAGACTCTGGTTTGTGGATCAGCCACTTCCTGATGCTGAAATCRTTTAAGACGGTGGTTTTAAGGAAGCTCCAAGGGGATGACTTTTCCTATGGAGGATTGCCTGGTTTATTTCTGCTCTTCATTTCTTTTCTGTCCTCAAGAGACTCTCTCTGCATTTACTTTCTCAACACAACTTCATCACTGATAAGACAAGGGAAATGAATATTGTTTATTTTATGAAATGTTTTATTTAAATGATGTTTAAAAAATACAAAACAAAGTACTCTTGTGCTTATCTTGTGGTCTCGTTGACTAGTTAGAAATTCTCTGCAAGTTCTTCATTATACTTAAGTGTTTATAATCTGTCTGAGCTCCTGTGGGGCAAAGAGATTTAAAATGTAGTACTTCATTCAAATCCTAGTTTGGGTTTCAGGCCCTGATCCATAGTCTACTGAGATCAATAATAAAATTTCATTCAGGTGCTTTGATGAAGTCTTCAGTGAATTAAATGCTTTGTTTTATTTTCTTTGCACTCTAATCATAGTTAGGGTCTGCTCAACCTTTTGGGAAAGGACCAACCTAGGATATAAAACAATTTTTTACATAACAAGATTGAAAATCTTTCTAAAAGTCTTTAAATAAATAAGTGAATTCCTGGTCCTCTTGAGATATTATTTAGAAAGCATTATTTCAGGGACCTCGAAGACAAAAGCCATGATTCTGCCCTCCTGGCAATACAATACAACATTTAACATATTCTTTATTAGAAGTTCAATAAATTTGAATATTAGCTGTTTTTCTACCATAGCTTGTACTAAGGAGACTAATTTCAGATTGAATTTTCTCTCCTAGGTGGCTGGGAAGGGCAAGCAACATTTAAACTGACTTTTAACAGCGGCGGAGCCATTGAGTTTGGACAGTTGATGTTCAAAGCTGCTTCCAGTGGTAAGGGGTCTCCAGAGCCTGCAGCCCTACCCTGGGCTAGGGACTCGGGAAGGGGGCATCCTCTGCACTGCCTCTTCCTTTGCTTCACCTTAGTGCTTGGTGTAGCCAGAATATTCTGGAGTTTGTGCTTTTGAGGTGGGCTTTGTTTTTTTCCACAGAAATTTATTCCTCCCCTCATCCCAGTCCTGTCATAATGGAAAGAACATATCTGCATTTGGCGAGGGGGAAACACAGTTTCAAAGTTCTATATTTACACATTTTATATTTAAAACTTCAAAAATTCTTAAGCTTTGTATTTAAAGCTTTGATATGGAAAAAAAAAATCTATTGAGCCTTTATTGGGAGGAAAGTTTAAAAAAAAATACCGATGAAGGTTTTCTAAAATGGTCCCCTTTTCCAATCCCAGAAGCCCAGCTGCTGATCTGTTACCCTAAGGCCAGGGTGTTTTTGGGCAGCTGACTTCTAGCACCCTGTGACCTTGCAGGGAGATTATTTCCAAGTGCTGTTCGTGCCTGGTGTTTATGCTGGGGCTGTTTAGTGGGTATCTCTGGAACTAGGATAAGGAGAAATCGGGAGGGCTGTTTACCTTTCCCTCTGTACAAGCACTGGGTTAAAACGAGCCCTGTGTGTCGCAGCTTCCAGCGGAGCCCCTCTGCAGAGCCCTGGCTACGGCTACATGCCCGTGCCCGGGGCTTACTCGCCCGTGCCAGGGGGCTACGCTCCTGCACCAGCAAACGGACCCTATCCCTACATGGCACCACCCGTGTACGCCTATGGACCAGCGGCACAGCCCGTGGGATACCCCTATGGCCAGCCTCCAGGTAAGGGCAGCTGCGTGGGGATCGGTCACAGCGTGTGTGTGGTGGTAGCCCTGAGGGGGTGACAGCGCGCTGAGGGGTGCTGAARTCTGGCCTCCTTTCCATGCAAGGATCCTTGTCCATTCAAATCTTACCATATTTTCTTGATCGTGYGTCTTCTGTGTGTCTCCAGAGTTGCAACTGGACATGAGGTAAAGTTGCAGCATCAAAATGGTGCTTCTGCGTGGCAGAAGCCTTTGGTGATGACAGCACTAGCCAAACGTAAAACCCTCTGCTTCCACATGACCCTGCGTGAGCAGGGGGGTTGGACTCGATGACCTCTGAGGTCCCTTCCAACCTTCAGCATTCTATGATTCTATGATCTTGCCACCTGATGCCCTAAAGCTTCGCCGTGGTGCTGTCTTTCTCGCAGGTATTTACCCACCGCTCMCAAACCCGAACCCTGTGTATGTGCCACCTCCTCCCCCGTATGCTGGGCCTTCTCCTGCAGGACCTTCAGCCCCTTCAGCTCCCACAGCCTGSGTGGCCCCAGGGATGCCAGGTAAGTGGGACGTGGGGCTCACATGGCTCAGACACAGAAGGGTGATTGGAGGCTGGAGCTCTGGGTGGTGCTGGTGGAGGGGGAGTTTGTTGTAGGAACTCTAGGTCGTCTTGGTGTATAATTTGAGGTGACAAAGGGCTGGAAAAGCTGCTCGGCTCTACGCTGTGCAGCTTGTGGTCAGCTCTAGCCACCTTGCTCCTTTCCTGACCTGCTCCAGATTCAGACCCAGCTTGGTGGTGTGCTTGCTGCTGCTCTTTGGGGATGACAAATAAGTCCTGTATTTGCTCCCTCCCTTTCCTCTCTAGGTGGCAGTAAGGCCACGGAAGCGACTTCCAGCGCGTATTACAACCCTGCCAACCCGCACAACGTGTACATGCCTATGGTAAGCACTGCACCCTCGAGAGGCTCTGCGCTCGCTGCGGGCGAGCTGGGAGGGAGTTAGGAGGAACACGGTGCTGCCAGCCTGCGTTTTGGACAGTCACCCCTTGGCTGTGGGAGTCGGATCGTGGCACGTGCCCCAGAATGAAAGCTGCTTCCTGCCTCACAGTAGTTACTGCGCAGCTAGTCTGCGCACGGAAAGCCCGTGTTTTCATGGGGATGATGGTGCCACAAAGATCCTCAAGCTCCTCGATTTCTAGAGAGAAATAGTGGGGTGAAATGACAGCCTAAAACACAGCATTCGGTTCTGGGTGTAACTTACTGGGAATGCCTGTGATTGTCTTGGGAATGCCTGTGAAGAGATCCACGTAAAGCAGGCGCAGCAGTTGACTCTCTTGTTTCGCTTCCAGGATCAGCCACCTCCTTATACACCTCCTGAGGATAAAAAGAACAACTAACAGAACCAGCCTCCCATGCTCTTTCCCTGAAGACAATTTGGCTGTCACTACTACCCCTTGGGTTAGCGTATCTCTAGGTCTCTTTATGTATATACAATGTACGTAGTCTGGGCTGCTGAGCAGCTGCCCTCCTTAAACATTCAGTCTGGCAATACAAGGCAGAGCAGCAGCACTTCTTGCTTCTCTGCTTCATCTCATGAGGTCAAAACACTAAGTTTTTGGTCTGCCCTTGGCTTGAGCGAAGAGATGGATTTCTTCATAAATCAGCAAACCACRTCATTAATCTAGGAGTAAAATATGAAGGCTCTTGGAGTGGAACCCTTTGGAGTGGCAGCCTTTTGACTCCTTCAAGCACCAGCCAAGAGGCAAGGTATAGACAGCCATGAAGTTCCTCATGTAGACCCTTGGGAGTCCCAGAAGGGTGTTAAATTTCCTTAAATTCTGGCACCGTTCAGTGTGAGATGGGACTCTGGAAATCCTGTGTCATCCTRGAAGCATGTGTTCATGTCCTGGACTAACAGTCATGGGGTCATAAACTTGAGAAACGCATCCCGAGAGACGCTTAGTCATTTGCTAGTGTGAGTGGGAAAGGGATGGGCCCCGACACGCAGAGGCCAAATCCAACAGCACAGCCATAAGAACTGTGAAGGGCTTGGATATATCATCCTACTGCATTTTGGCAGCAAGAAGAGCTTCTGGGCAGAGACGTGTCTGCTTTGAATGCAGCAAAACCCTCTGCTGATACTTCTCCATCTCCTTTCCTAGTTAGCCTTGCAGAACGGGGCGAGCTGCTGCACTSGCTGGTGTCCGGGGAGCCCGCGCTGGCTGTTGTCTCTGCTCCTTCTCCGTGTGCACCTCGGTGTCTCCGGTGACTCTTGGGAGCCACGGTGGGGGTTGCTGCAGGTCTCTTGCACGCCTCAAAGCCAGGCTGCTGGCAAGCTGCGTGTGGATGTAGCTGGGAACAAGCGGTGACTTCCCGAACTCAGCCTGCCTGTGTAGAATAGAGGAGCATTGGGAGGGGGCTGCTGGGCGCTGCAGCTTGCCAGGATGGGTGTCAGTCTCCCAGTGGGTGCTCCCGGAGCAGGTCCTGTATCCGCACAGTGATCCCGTGCCACGTAGCCACTGCTCGGGCGCGAGGGAGCGGAGCAGAAGCTGCTTGCCCCGAGCAAAATGCCACTCTGGGAAGACACCCTGGCGCTGGCCTTGTTGGGGGACAGGCCTGGCAGCCCTGGCCGCTCCTGCTGAGCGAGCTCGTGCGGGCTGTGGTCGTGGCAAGGGAAGCCTGGGCTTGGTCCCACGCCTGGGCTTGGTCCCACGCCTGGGGCTGCCGTGGGCTGTGCGGTGCGTGCCCACGTTGAGCGGTGTGGGGAAAGCAGGCTCTGCTGCTGGGCTCTGGTTGCTTCGGGGGGCAGCACCCCCCAAGCTGGGCTCTGCTTTCCTTGCTGTGGGTGCTATTCATGCTCAGCTCTGCTGCTCAGCCACAACCTTTCCTCCTCCTGCAGGAGATACTGCCATTAAACCTGCTCTGAAAGAGAGTGTCACTAGCACGATGGAGACCAATGTGGTCCTTTATATATGTGGGATTATTCTACTTCTTCCCTGTAGTCTTCCTACTTTCTCGGTGAAGAGGAAGGAGCATTTTCATCTTACTTCCCTGCATGCCAGGGCTCTCCTTTAAGTGAGGTTTGCACAAATATGAGAATGAATTCTTGAAGCAGCCTAGCATAGAGGGAGGTGAACTTCCTTGTCTAAAACAACAGAAAAAAAGTTTTAAATCGGAGTTGGAGATGCTCTGATGATTCTCTCAAACTAAAATATTAAGCCATGAATGTTTGTAACTTTTGCATTGCACTTTAATACAGAAGTGTTGGTAACTCTAGCTGTCTCTTTGCTGTTGTTTGTGTTAYGTCAGTCTCTATCATTCCTGCCTATTGCATGGAAGGGAGGGAAGAGGGATCAATGTGGCTGGTCTTTCTGGTTGGCTTTGGGTCAATCCTGCTCTCTCCCTGTGCACTGGGAAGCTGGGTCTGGATCGGGATTGGGGGCTAACACAAGGGCAGGAGCACYGAATTGGGCTCACCATCTGACTGCCTGGGGAGGGTGGCAGGGTGGTTTGTGCCTTTGCTGCTGTCACCAATGTCCCTGTCCCCTGGGCAGGTGACACTGTTTAACAGAGGTGGTGTCACCAACTTGCCCCTCACTAAAGCTTTATTTTTAGCAGGCTTCCCTTGGGCAGTATTAGGTGTCTTTAACAGGAGCTCCCGACTAGATGGTTAATCCAGCTTCCCCTCTCCTCCCCCTCAACATAGGATAAATAAATATACATTAAAGAGCATTTCTTACTGATTCTTACCCTGATCCAGCCCTAACCGAGCAGCTAGCAATGCTGAACAAATGTGACAGAGACAGTCTGGGACCTGCTTCCCATTTATTGAAATTGTCTTAATCACTTAGCAAGAACAAAGCCAGCTGCTGTACACGGGCATGAAGTTGAGTTGTTTGTGTTTTTAATAATTGGCATTGCAAAGCAGCATATTTGGAACTTGCTGCTCTTCTTGGAGAAAGCTGTGGCGAGGGGCTGGACTGGGCCATTGGTCCTCCTGGAGCTGTAGTAGGTTCCCAATCCTGTCATCTGGAGTGACTCGAAAGAGGAAGCTTTATTTTTTTATTTATTTTCCCCCCTCCACTTTAGTGAAAATGGGGCACTTCCCCAGTCTGAGCCTATCCTTGTTATCAGCCTTCCCCGGTTGCCTTGTACTTTCAGGGAGAGCTTTAACAAACAGTGCACCCCTCTCCCACGTCACTCAAGGTAGGTGAGTGACCTACAGCTGGCTGGCTGTTCTGTCTGGGCTTGCCTCAGTAGGTCTCCTCAAATTGCTCTGACACAGGGGTGGGAGAAGCAGTGAGAGATGCACAACCCAGGGCATCAGCCAGCCCTTCTGTGGCCACTGACAACACGCTGAAGTACCTGACATCACGTGAGATCTGCCATGCTCTTCTCTTGTGTCTCAGGTAAGAAAGAGCCACGGGATTGAGGGATGGCATCTCCCTCATGTTTTGTGACATTCCTTCCCCCCAACACTTTTCTTGGTTGTTTTGTCACTGCTTTTCTCCATATGGGTAACAGCAGGAGCTGGTGCCTGGGAGGGATGGCAGTTTTCCTCCTTGTGGTTGATGCCATCCTGACTAACACCTGTGGCAGCAGATGCAGCTACTCAGGGTCATATGTAGAGTCAGGCCCAGCCAAAGTACCAAAATGAATCAGGGATGGGTTCCAGAGCTCGAGCCACAACTCGCTGCSAGCACCTCCAGGGTGTTAGTGCTGCCTCCTCCTGCTGTCTACGTAGCTGCCCTTTGGAGCAGGAGGAGCTGCTCCCTGAGAAACCCTGGAGTGTTCAGCCTGCTGGAAAAAGCAGGACCGCAACATGACTCGCAGCTTGGAGGCCCCTCTGCTGCAGCGAAGCTGGCGGGTAGGAAACTCCTGAGGGAGGAGTGGGAGCCGCCTTTCTTCTCCTGGCACGCGTGCTGGAGAGCAGCAGTGCTRGCCTCCAGGCTGCTGGCAGAGCTGGCGCCTTGGGGATCCCCCCACCGCTGCACTACTCCCATCTCCCTCTGTGAGCACCGATGGGGGTGGGTTCTCAGGGGGGGTTCATGGTGGYGTGAAGCCCTGCTCCCATCCCCTTATTTGGAGCCCAGTTGATTAGAGCAAAGGAGAAAAGGTCTCCTTTGAGTGTCTGACCCTTGCGAGTCACCCATCACATGCACAGGGAGGTGTTATCTATCGTGATGCTACAGCCTTGTTAAAACAGTTCCTGCAGTGGTACCCACTTTGATGTGATGAGCTGCTCAGGTATCAGAGCTCATAAGCTCAAAGGCAGGCTGGACCACCTTTTCAAGGCAGTTTTCCACAGGAGTGCTTTGCAAGGATCAAGGAATCAAACTGTGCACCATGCTTAGGAAGCAGGGAGCAAGAAGTCCTCCTTTACGTGGATTAAGTAGAAATCAWCAAGTTTGTACCAGGGGAATAGCATAAATTCAACCCCCTGCATTGTCAATAATATCCATGAGAGGCACTTGTGCAAGGCAGAGAAAGGTGCTCCAGGGCCTGGCAGAGGACCCCACTGGCACCCTGCGCCCCACTGCTGAGCACCTCACAGAACGATGGGGCCGATACCTTGGCCGGGGCCCGGCTGCCTGAGCAGGCGCCAGGGCGGTGCCAGCGGGGAGAGGTACCACATCACCACCCCCGAGGGGTTGATCACCACCGTGAAGTTGTCTCCTGTCTTTAGGCCGCTGATGATCTGACCGCTGTACACGTCTCGGACCTGCAAGAGAGGGGCAGTCAGGCCTAGGATGTTCCCACGTTGTCCAGCCAGGGCCAACATGCCTGCTGCTGGCCCGAGCCGGCCAGGCCATACCTAGGAATAGGGCCTTAACCACAGGCTCAGCCTCAAAACCCATCCCTGAAGCTCCCTGCTCAGCGGGCAATACACAAGGTTTGCAGGGACAGAGAGCTGGGAGAAGAGAGAAATTGGCTCTCGAGGCAGCAGTGCAGCCCCCAGACTTTGTCATGTCTCTCTTAAGAGGGAGATGACTGGGAAAGCAGGAACCTTTCCCCTACCAGAGCCCAGCAAGTGGGTGTTTGCCACCCACAGAGCAGCGTGTCGCAGACGACTCAGGGTAAGGGAGCAGATTTTTCCTTCCACAGGGGCACAGCAAACAGGAGGGCAAAAATCCCCTTTCCATGTCCGCAGCGCGGGGGGTGGCAACAGGAGGGAGCTCAGAGGCCAGCAGCGCTCACCTCGTACACAGCGTTGCCCGGGAAGTGCAGCTTGGCCAGGCTCGTGGTGTAGCGGAAGGGCATGTCCGTCCTCCGGCTGAAGAAGACGAGGGCGCTGGCAGCCTGGGACAGCGGGCGCAGGAACACCTCGACGTGGAATTTCTCCTGGGATGGGAATAGACTGGTGAGATGGAGCTGCCAGGACTGGCTCCTTCTTGCAGGGACAGAGCAGGGGAAAAGCCCTGAGTGATGCTCCAAGTGCTGCAGGCTCTTAGGGCACCTCCTCACTTTGACCACTGAGAGGCCAGGAGCAGCTCTGAGCAGGAGTGGCTGCCTGCGCAGGGCACACAGGCTGGCGGGGGGCAAGTGCCAGCACAGGTTCCTTGCTGCAATCCCTCCTTCCTGTGTCTGCTCTGGAGGGCATGAGAACATTTGGGCCTGGAGTCCCAAATGGAGACCCTTGCAGGGGTCTTGAGTTCCAGAAGGTGCTCACAGAAAGGCTGGTAACTTCCATCCTTGCCCGGATGGGTTGCTAAGCCAGTAGGTCCCCATTCCCAGCTCTTCTGCTTCTACTTCTCTGCATACCTTCTCTCTCCTTCAATACCTCAATACTCTGTTTTCTCTCCTCTCCCCMAAATGCACCTTCCCCCTAACCTTGACAATCCTACGTCCCTGGATTCCCAGGGGGTCCTGGTTGATCTGGATCATCAGTCGGTTCTGCAGGATCTCCTTGGCGCTCGGGGAGATGGTGCGGAGGTCAGTAGACATGAGGAGCGGAGCTGCCATCACTGTCCACAGGGCCATTTGGGAGCGTGACTGCTCGTAGCTAAGGCCGAAGTTTCCAATGATGAGCTGGAGGGGAGAGGGGACAAAAGAAGGCAGAAGCAGAAAATGGTTGGAAAGGTCTGACGCAGTGTGGCACAGAACCCTCACACGCTTTCACTTCCCTTCAAGCAGCCTACCACTGCTAGAAGGTCCCAATTCTGCCAGGTGCTCCGCAACCAGCACACACTAAAAAGCACCCTTAGCTTCACCCCAGTTTCCCCCCTTGCTGTGCAGGAGCCATAGGGAAGGATAAAGACACCGGGGCAAAGGGACAGGCACACAAAAGGGGCTGAGGGTCAACTGTGATATACGTTTTTCCCTCTGCTTAGCAGGGCAACACAGGCCTTCCCCCTTCTGCCTGAAAGCAAGACAGACCCTTGATCACTCGTCCTTTGCCTTGTCTCTACAAGGGGAACCCCTGAAATCCCCCACCCCTGGCTTGGGTCCCTGCACCCCCCACCCAGCTGCACCATGTCTGGGTCGTTCCAGTGCCCGGGGCCAGCCGCCGGCTGCAGCACGTCCTGGTGCGCGGAGAACCAGTCCACGATGGAGAGCACGCTGTCCCACGAGTCCTCAATGTCGTCGTAGTTCCGCCACAGGTTGCAGATCTCCGCCAGGATCGTGTAGTTCACCTGGAGAGGAGTCAGGCGGGAGGGAGCCTGCAGGCTGGGCAGACACACACACCACATCCCACATCCCCAGCYGCAAGAAGGGGCACCCGCACTTGCTGAGAGCTGCAGGGTCCAAAGAACGTTTGCAAGCCAGAGGGATCTAGGRAAGGACAACATGATGGACAGAATCATATCCCAATATGATACAATGCCGAGGCTCTGGGGGAACAAAACCATTGCCAGAAGGGAACAGGGGTACCTTAGGGTTGATTCAGAAGGTGGGAGGGGGATAAATCTGTGCTGAGGTAACAAAAAACGTTACTAAGAGTAACATATACTGGGGAAGAGCAGGAGCTCTGTTTCAAGCATTTGAATCAGACAAGGTAACACTGAGGAGAGCAGCCTGTCAGGATCAAGCCCTCATGAGCTGAGAGGAATGGGGAAGGCCTTGGGGTCTTCCTCCAAGCTCTTCTGACCTAGTCATGTTGGGAACCCCAGTTTTCCATGGGAAGCCAATGAAATGGCCACCTCCTGGCAAGGAGACTATTTCTCATCCTGGCCTCTACAGGACCGTCCTATAAGCAAGAACGGAGTGCAGCACACGGGCTCCTGCAGCTCACAGCAAGAGCTCCCCAGGGCACTGGGGACATGGGAAAGCCCACTGGACCCAGCACATGTTGGGATAGTCCTCACCTTGGGAGGGAGCCCACCCCGATACGCCGGCCAGCTGCAGGAGTAGACTATGGGGCGGCCCGTTGYGTTCAAGGCCTCCGACATCTTTGGGTAGCCTTAGGGAGAGAAGAAGCTGAGCAGTTGCATTGTAGCAGCTCCGGGGCTCCTCTTCGCCCAAGAGCTCTCCAGTTGCCCTTCTGCCCTACAGCCAGGGTGCCCCCAGCCCCAGCAAGGCCATGGCAGCCCTGCTGCAATGTCAGCCCTCAGAAAGCTACACACGGGCTCAGCCAGGGCAAAGACTTAAAGCTGCGAGACAGACAAAGCTGCCTTCTCTCAGGATCAAGCATTAACTGCYCTGGCTCTGGGGCACAAACACCAACCACCAACCTCCACTCTCCAAGACCACCAGGTGCCTGCATACATGGCTCCTGCAGGAAAGGGATCACTGAGGGAGGATGAGGAGGGTTCCCTCCTCATCCACCCTGGGCCCTATTTCACATGCAGATAAGCCCTGCAGCCCCTCTGACATGCAGCTTGTTTGGAAACCAAACAATCCATCAGGGGTGCAAAGATCAAGATGTGAGGAAAGAACCAAAGTCAGCCAAGCATTTCTGAGGACAGAAATTGGACAGCCCCCTCCCAACTGAAGTAGCTGCAAGAGAAAAACCAGCCAGCGAGCAAGCTTCCACCCTTACCCTCCGCCTGCTCTTGCTCCGATGAGTAACACCCATCCAGCTTCAGCATGTCCACACCCCACTGTGCAAAGGTCTGGGCATCCTGCTCCACGTGGTCCAATGTGGTCCCCGGATAGCCTCCACAGGTCAAGATGCCCAGGTCTGCATAAATGCCCAGCTTCAGGCCCCGGGAGTGGACCTGTGAGGAGAGAAGAGATGCAAGAGTGAGGAGAGAAGAGGTACAAGAGTCCAGGGCATCTCCCAGGGAAATGAGCTCCTCCATCTCGTCCCAGCCCTCCTACCACAACAGCTCCAGCCAAGGTGAAACAGATGCCCCCTCCATCTCCATCTTCATCCTCCCTCTGGATCCACTTCTCCCACGTGTGCTTACATAGTCAGCCAAGGCCTTAATCCCTCGGGGAAACCTCTTGGGATCGGGGACAAGCCGCCCGCTCGYGTCCCGCTGCTTCGCTGCCCAGCAGTCATCAATGTTGATGTACTGGTAGCCCAGCTCCCTCCAGCCGTCCTCCGCCAGGCGGTCTGCCATTTCCATGAAGAGCTGCTCACTGCGGCGGGAGAGAGACACTGACATGGCCAGTCAGGCCACAACACTTAGCTCTTGATAACTCTTCACYCGCCGACTGCTGGCAGCCAAGAGGATTTTGGAGCGGGATATGGATGTGGAGGGTCTGCCTCCCCATGTCACCGCAACACCGGCCTGGATGGTAGGGGAAGGTCTCCAGCGGCCGGAGCAGACCTCTGCAACCGGGAATATCTTCCTGACACACTGCACGGCCTGGCCACGTCTTTCAGTCCGACACTGGTCTCCCACACATGCCAGTTTGGCCTATGTCCTCACCAGGCACCATTTCCCCACCGCTGCAGGCCTCGCTGACATCCCACCACCCCGCTCAGCCCATCCATCTCCACGTGAGGAGGAACTTCTTCACTGTGAGGGTGCCAGAGCCCTGGCACAGGCTGCCCAGGGAGGCTGTGGAGTCTCCTTCTCTGGAGATCTTCCCAACCCGCCTGGATGCCGCCCTGTGCCCCGTGCTCTGGGTGTCCCTGCTGGAGCAGGCGGCTGGACTGGGTGATCCCTCAGCAGCTCTGGGACTCAGGAGCTCTTCCCACGCGCTGCCCCGTCCCGCCCTCGGCCAGGGCGCAGCCGCGCGCGCAGAGCGCTCCGCACACCGGGGTCGGGCCGGGCGGTGCCGGGCGGTACCGGGCAGTAGCGGTGCCGGTGCTCGGCGCCGCTCACCTGACGCAGTCGCGGGGCGCAGCCTCGCAGTCCACGTTGCAGCGGAAGCGCTCCCAGGCCAGCCAGCCCATGGGCGGCCGGCGCGCCAGCCCGTTCTCCAGCGCGCGCCCGCCGGGCGCCGCCAGCGCCACGGAGCGGCTCGGCTCGGCTCAGGGCACCGGGCCGGAGCGGCTCGGCTCGGCTCAGGGCACCGGGCCGGAGCGGCTCGGCTCGGCTCAGGGCACCGGCACGGAGCGGCTCGGCTCGGCTCAGGGCACCGGGCCGGAGCGGCTCGGCTCGGCTCAGGGCACCGGGCCGGAGCGCGGAAGCGGCCGTCCCGCCCCGCTCACATGATGCCGCCCGCATCAGCTGACCC